GATTTTTTCGCTTTATTTTATCGAATTTACACAAGTGTGCCTCAAGGAGCTGCTACAGGGCCTTTTTGTAACATTTCTATAACATGTCATTTCTATTGAAGTAGGCTGTGAACTCTAGACAACTGGAAAATAAAGGAGTATTCGTTTTTTCGGTGGCCGGCTTTTGTCGGAACTAGTGTTGTTAAACTTCGAATGTACAGGTTAAGAATTATACAAAATGAAATTATGTTTGAAATATTTTGATTTTTTCATTTTTTTACCTAATTAAAAAAGTGTGTCTTGCAAAATAATTATATACAGTGTGTCCAAGATATGGATGGGATACCATGTGGATCTAGGAAACGGTAAGAGATATCGGGTGGCTCAAATTAGAAAAAAGTTGTTTTTTTTTATACCTAACAATACGCCATTTGGAACCCGAATTTTGCAGAATCGTTTTATTTTTTTCTGACTATTTGAAAACGAATTTTAAAATAAATTACATATTTACAATGTCAATTTTTCCGCTCTATCCATTGGCGTCAACTTTTTTTCAATCCGACGTTTCGTCTTCGAGGGGCCATCATCAGGTTAATTTTTTTAAATACGCTGCTATTTTTGACAAAATCTAGTCATTTTTAATTCTGATTTAGATGATATTACTAATGTAATCCAACAATTTTTTTTAATCAATAATTTAAAAAAGTTGTATAATAAAAAAATTATATAAATTTATGAAATGTTTTATTATTTCTAATTAGTATTGCTAATAGTAGTAACAAAAATTGTTAGATATTTTGTGCTGTATTGACTTGTATACTGTTATGACTTCATCCAATAGCCAATAGATATTTTGAAAGCGTTCAGAGCCGTACTCAGGAAAAATTTTAAATGATAGCTAAAACAAGTTAAAAACCTTTTTTACAATACAATATTACACGATTACAATAGTAATATCATCTAATTCAGAATTAAAAAATGACTAGATTTTGTCATAAAACTAGCAGCGACATATTTAAAAAAATTTACCTGATGCTGGCCCTTCGAAGGCGAAATGTCGTATTGCAAAAATGTTGATGCCATTGGATAGAGCGAAAAAAGTGGCAATGTAAATGTGCAATTTGTTTTAAAATTCGTTTTCAAATAAAGCCAGAAAAAAATTAAACAATTTTGCAAAATTTCAGATTTTTTTCGGACATCTCCGCAACTACCCGTAATTTTAAAACTTTCTAATCGGATATTGTTAGGGATACAAAAACACAATTTTTTCTAATTTGGACCACCCTGTATCTCTTACCGTTTCCTAGATCCTAATGCTATCCCATTCTTATCTTGGACACAGTGTATATTGAAAGTGTATGAGACTTTCATAAACTTCCTTAATAATTGAAACTCAAAACATTGAAAAATTTGATGAAAAATATTAGAGATATATTTTTAAATATAATTTCACTGCAAGTTTCCAATTACATTGCTTCACATGCTATTCAGAGCTGCATAATAATAATACAGGATGTAACTTTACGTGGGGATCGTTTTTTAAGAGAAACTTGTTTTCCAGAATATTAATCTGAAATTATTATTTCTTTTATCAAATAAATATTCAAGTTATATTTCCTTTCTTAAGCTACATCTACACTTTTGTTTATGACCCCTCTGGGTGAAAATAAATAAAATTACTTAGTCTGTAGTCTTATAAATTTGAAATATTTTAAAAAATCACTAAATTATTAATAAAAAGTATTTGTTACTATTTTCTGAAACCACTGTGTTTAGTTTATGAATCTCAGTGTCAATGGCCTGACATTGATATGGTTTAGTCGAACTATATGATATCAATACGTCTGATGTGATACGACAACAGGGCATTAGTTGAACAAAAAACAAACGGTCAATGTTTATTCGGCAAAAGGAAAATGGCCGTATATGGCACCGCTTCATTTTATTGCATTTGTTTTAGTTTACAGTTCATCGGTTTACGATTTAATTTTTTTCATTTATAACTTGGAAATATGTAAAATAAGTCAAGCAATAAAATGTGAAATGGAAGTTTCCCAAAATAATTTCAATATTTCCCGGCGTACCTGAATCTGACGGGCGACTTGTGTTTTATCTACATAATTCTTCCTAGGTCCAAACATCCTAGTGGACGACACCCTGCCCTCGGAAGTAGACAAGGCCCTTCTGAGTTCGGTGAAGGACTCCATCGTCCAGGGCTTCCAGTGGGGTACCCGCGAGGGTCCCCTATGCGAGGAGCCCATCAGAAACACGAAATTTAAAATCCTGGATGCCGTCATCGCTAACGAGCCCCTGCACAGAGGTGGCGGTCAGATCATCCCCACCGCGAGACGGGTGGTGTATTCCGCCTTCCTCATGGCCACTCCGAGGCTGATGGAGCCCTATTTGTTCGTGGAAGTGCAGGCACCGGCAGACTGCGTGTCTGCCGTGTATACGGTGCTTGCGAAGAGACGGTAAGTTCGATTTTTTTAAAGGGAGAAATGATTTTATTGCGGATCGTTTTTAGTGGTCATGTCACTCAAGATGCGCCAGTGCCAGGGTCTCCGTTGTACACCATTAAGGCTTTCATTCCGGCTATAGACAGTTTCGGTTTCGAGACTGATTTGAGGACGCACACGCAGGGACAGGCGTTCTGTCTGTCGGTCTTTCATCACTGGCAGGTAAGATGTAAAATAATCAGTGTTAGGAGTCCCAATAACTAAATGTTCGGAAGGCACATAATTCGCAACGTTTTTATAATGACACGAATTCTCTTTGGCATAGTGTCGGCTAAGGATCTACAAAACTGTTGACGACCCTTTCGACTAACTCGAAATTTTCGGTCTACCTGGCGGCAGTGACTTCCCTGCTCGGACGCGAAATTTTGTGACACTGTGTAACATAAACAGGGATACTTGTTAATAACAAATAAAATATCTATTTTCAGCTGAAAAATACGCAGCAAAACCTTAAGCTTAAAAATAAAAATTAACGACTATTAAAACTGGTAAGTAACCGGTTTACTCCGGAGAAAAAAATTCCCAAATCTCTTGGATTTCTCTTTTAGGATCAGAAATTGTCCCATATGCGTTGCTCCGCATGGACATTTTTATGCTGTGCCATAATACATCAATGACACTTAGGTCAGTGTTGCTTGACGGCCAGTTCAAGATTTTAATATCGTTGCCTTCAAATAATTTTTTTATAAATTTGGAAGTACAAATTTTTGTCTCATAANATTTTTTGAACAGAAAGAAAAGTAAGAGGATAATAATATTCAAGGATGTTACTAACCATGTCTTTAAGTATTCAGAAAAATATATTCATAAATAGTACAAAATGGAGACACTGGTGCCATTCTCGTGAGGCGTGTGAAATTTAAGGCGCTTACGCAAATTTGATCTGGAAAAAAAAAGTAAAAACTTTTCTCTTAATCTGCAAGAGTATGGCTTGAAAACATTAATTTTTGTGGGATTGGCGAGCATTTGAAGTAAAAAGTTAAATTTTTGACAAAAAAAGGGGCAATCATTTGTCAATAAATAATGTTAGAATCAACTTTCCCGAAAATCCCGTAGATATTCTTTGGAATGTTATTTTAAAGTTACGGTCAAAATTTAGAGTAAATGGAATGAAAATTGTTGGAGGTATGCTTTAAAGTTTTGAGATGTACTAACACGCTTCCGTTTGAAAACGCTTCTAATTGATTCAAAACTAACACCGTTTGTTGGTGTATTATGTGCTACAGGTAGTCTTTTTGGAGCAGTCCAAAGCGCTTGGTGAAAAAGTGGAATTTCAAAGAAAAAAATTTTGTACATAAAACTTTTTCCTCCTATTCTAGGTTTAAATGTTTTAAAAATATATATTTTTTGAAAATTATTCAGTGGCCTTTCCCCCTTAACAGTGCCAGTAACAAACTACCCTTTTCAACCCCTTTGCCAACATGTATCGTAGAATTTTTTTACACGTTTAAGCATTTCTTGTGGACGGCTTACCTGGTCGTTTGTAGCACGTGCTTACTAGAATCCCCAACCCATACGTTAAACTTAGACTCATTACTGAAAATTTCTGGAATCTAGTCTCACTAGTAGCTTTCAATTCAGCCTA